TTAAAAAAAAAAAAAGATACCTGCACTCATATGTTTATTGCAGCACTATTCACAAAAGCAAAGATACAATCTACCTAAGTGTCCATCAACAGAGGATTACATAAAGGAAATATGGTGTCTATACACTATGGAGTTCTATTCAGCCATAAAAAAATGCAATCCTGTCTTCCTCAGCAACATGGATGGAACCATTATCTTAAGTGGAAACAACTCAGTCACAGAAAGACAAATGCCACGTGTTCTCACTTATAGGTGGAGCTAAATAATGAGCAGACGTAGAAGCCGAATGTGGGATGATGGACAATGGAGATTTGAGGAAGGATAGAAGGAATTGGATGATGGGAGGTTGCTTGATGGGTGCAATGGGCACAGCTCTAGGGATGGACACACTGAAGGCTCTGACATCACTACAACGCAATAATACAGGGTGGCCATAATTTAAAATTGCACATGAACTTTATGACCACCTTGTATATCAATGTGGCAAAATTGCACTTGAATAATTGCACTTGTAACCCATGAATATATACAAATAAAAATAAATTTTAAAACGTAAAAATGGGTGGAAAAAATAAGATGCTTCTCAATTTTAATTGCCAATATGATACATATTGAGGTTTTTTGTGTGTGTGCGTTGGGGGTGGTTTGTAGAGACAGAGTCTCACTTTTTCGCCCTCGGTAAAGTGCAGTGGAGTCGCTCCAGCAACCTCCAACTCCTGGGCTTAGGTGATTCTTCTGCCTCAGCCTCCCAAGTAGCTGGGACCACAACGCCCAGCTATTTTTTGTTACAGTTTGGCCAGGGCTGGATTTGAACCCACCACCCTGCCACCCTTGGTATATGGGGCCAGTGCCCTACTCACTGAGCCACAGGCACCTCCCTATGATACATATTGATACATGTAGCAACATAAATGAAACTCCTCAGAGCTTCAATGATTTTAAAGAGTTGGCTTGGTGAGTGCTCGGTGCCCGTAGCACAGTGGGGACAGGGCCAGCCACATACACCAAGGCTGGTGGGTTCAAAGTTGGCCTGGGCCTGCTGAAATAAGAACAAGTGCAACAAAAAATAGCCAGGTGTTGTGGCAGGCACCTGTAGTCCCAGCTACTTGGGAGGCTGAGGTAAGAGAATCCCTTAAGCCCAAGAGTTGGAGGTTGCTGTGAGCTGTGATGCCAAGCACTCTACCGTGAAGGTGACATAGTGAGACATAGTGAGACTCAAAAAAAATAAATAAATAATAATACTGTTAAAGCATTTAAGGAGGTCCCAAGGCCAAAACATTAGAGAACCACTTCTATGGAATATACTGTAATATGTTACCTCTCTATATCTTACAGTTATATGTATGGACTGTTTTGTTTTGGTTTTTCATTTGGTGGTGGGGGAATATCTTCCTTTTATCTCCCCAAATCTCAAGTGATTTCTCAAGAAAATCCTCAGTGTTTTTCAGACAACAGCATAACTTCAAATCAGTGTTTGACTCTGTCTCCCAACTGCTGCTGCTCATCACTCTCCTGCCGACACTCTCTGTTCCACTGAGAGATCTCAGTCCTGGGAAGATGGGAGAGAACTGAACAATACGGGGTGATCTCGGGACTCTTTCTCTCCTATCTGGGGCTTTAAAGATAGGCTTGACCGGCATGAAACTCAAGTCCAGGAGAGAAGCCCCTCTTTAGGACATGGGAGTCGGGTATGGACCATGTGGATCAGCCTCGTAACACACATCCTTAAGAAGGTGATAGCCTGACGTTGAAGGAATTTCTTTTTCCATGTTGCTTCCCACCAAATTCTGCTCTTGAAGACCCAAAATATTGATCACATCCTTTTGAACATCACCATAACCTCTGAACTCTTAATTGTCTTCAATTTAGCCCCGGGCTATGCAGGATGTCCATAAAGTTCATGGACTATTTTAAATTGCACACAAATTTTATGGACACGCTGTATTGTCTTAGAATTTTTCCCAAATAATAGAATACATCAACTATTTGCATATCACATGCACAAATATGGGCATCGTCCTTTATTCTTCCATCTCCATAGAACTTTCCCCTTATACGATGTATAATCCACTCAAAACTTTACCATCAGTAGCTCTATGTTACAAGTGACATGAGTGAAACTTCGAGAAGATAGATAACTCACCCAATGTCACTCAGCTAGTAAATGACAGAGCAGGGATTCAAAGCCATGTTGTATGAGTGCAGAGACCCGGCCTTTACCCAATTCACAATTTCTTTTATGGGCTTGGCAGCGTGTTCTCCTACCAGTAGCAACAGCATAGCAATAACACCAACAGTAACACCTGCAACCACAGCGACAGCGGCAATAAAAACAACCACCATTACTGGGTCCTTAGCCTGTTTCAGTCCCTGTTGGAGGAACATCACAGGAATTTTATGGTTGAGTCTGCAGGAGCTAACTACTATTTAATATTTATCCTGAATGTAGGTTGGAGAACTAACCGTGCATTCTTTGGAATCAGGTTTGAATTTTACTTCACACCATCTTTGAAAAGTTGTTAAACCTTTCCTGTGAAAAAGTGTCAACCACGCTCACCTCGCAGAGCTGTGGGGATTAAAGTGATGGTGCAATTAAAGTACTAGAACCTACCTAGCTTATGAGAGATAGTCAATAAAAAAGGAAACCGAGGCTCAGAGAGGCTAAACTGGACCTTACTTCTCCAGGGTCACACAGAGAGAAAACTTCGGTGTAGGGAGTCCAGTGCAGGTCCTCAGACTTCAAATCCAAGGTTCTTCCTACTATACCACCCTGCCCTCAGTCCATGTTCATTTAGAACTCCTCCTTGTTCCATTAGAGCTTGAGATCAGATCTGTGCATTTACATCTGAGTCTAGTCTAGTTGTGTGTGCACAGAAGGAAGTTATTACACCTATCTGAACAGCTATAAGATTTCAAATAGAGAAAATTAAGATAGATCATCCCTTAAACCACAAATAACCATTAAGATGTATTAAGTAATCATGGACGCAGTAATTCTACTTGGGGTAATCTAACCTCAGGGAAGGGAGATAAACTACGTACAAGAAAATGTTTACTGTGGTATTGGAAAAATAATCACAAGAAATTGAAAACAAATAAAATGTCCTCCCATAGGGAATTGGCAGGAAATATGGGGGATGTGTATTCCAAGGCATTTTGCGCGTCCATTCACATGATGAGTATAAACACTATGCAGCCATACAAAAGTCACTGGTGGATTAATGTGAAGTCAACCCAAAGGATACAGAATTGTTTCTATGCCGCAGTGTTCACCAGCCATATTCTTAAAAACAAGAAACTAAAAAGTACATGAAAATAGATTGGAAACAGCCAGCTAGCTGGAAATTATCCTGAAGGATTTTTTCCCCTTTATTTTACTTATCTTATGTAATATTATAAAATTATTCTAGAAGAAACAGTTAAGAACTGAAACAATGAAGCTGATAGCAAATATATTACATTAACTGTATCTGAGAACCGTCATCAGAGAGGTAAAGAGCAAACAGGTTCAGAGAAAAAATGTCGTTCTCTGGATGGAAAGCCTAGAGAAAGATTCAATGTTTATATGAATTTTGTTTTCGTCATTCAGATTCTTGTTTGGCAACCCTGTGGAATCTTAGGCACAGACCAAATCTTGCTTCTGAGCACCTACTGGGCAATAAACCCATTTGTAACTGGGACATTCAGAGCTGTGAACGCGTTACGTTTGCTAGGTGAGGGCCGTTCCCAGAGCAGGGTGGATTGTGAGTGAGTGCACCCCAGCGGGCTTTAAATTCCCTCTGAGAATCTACTGCCCTGACACAGAAACAGGGACAGCCCTTAGAGAAAGTTGCGTGATCAGGCAAAGAACACAGGTCTTTGCTTAGCAAACCTTTGTCCCCAGTGGTGGTAACAGAGCAGAGGAAGATTCTAGTACCATCTTACCAGCATCTTGTAGCCGTTTTCTCACTATTTCGAGCCCCTCTGACACCGCATCTTTCAAGTTGTCGTGGGGCTCTGGGAAGGCTGAGTTGTTCATCATCAGGACGCTGATCTCATAGTTGTCATGGTAGCAGGACTGGTGGAACAAGAACGTTAGCCCGGGCTGAAAGAGCAGTAACCACAAAGCTAAACCCAACAGTAGTGTCTTCATGGCCTTGGGCATGTCAGAACCATACTCCTTGTGTCCACTTGCTTTGCTCTGGGATTCTAGGCAGGCAGGAAATCCAGACGGACAGACCAGTTGGGTCTCCCGGTCCGCTCTTCTCCACGCTCCTTTCCGGTCATGGCCACATGGTCACGTGGGCCGCGGAATACAGCCTGCTGCCAGTAATTAGTAGCTACATTATGGTAGGAGATAAACCAAAGTTCACTCTGTGTGTTTGCACACAGACAGATCAGAGCTGTAAACAGGGAGATTACCTGGGCTTCACCCAATAAAAAGACATCAATTTGTGACATATCACAGGGACGAGGGAAAAGAGGAAGAAGACAGAATGTTATGCACATAACAAGCTTTGTGAAATGGAAAATAAAGGTCGAAGGGCTTCGGGAAAGCACAGATACGATGGGCTATTGGTGCTTGGGTTTTAGCCGAATTCCAAACGGAATCCTTAAGTAGGAAGAGCTGTGTTTCCATCCCCTAGTCAGAGGCTATGTACTGAGACGAGCCTATGGGTTGGGCATTGGAAAGTCTCTGGAGATACGGCCAGGGATGATATAGATACATTAATGTTCTCAAGGAACATGTATTCTAATGGGAGAGGATGGTGTTAGTAATAAGACAAATGGACTAACCAAGAATAATAAGTTCAACACAAAAAAAGCACAGAGCGCCATGAGCATACGGCAGATTAACATAACCTATTCTAGCAAGTCAAGGAAGCTTTCCCAAGGCAGTATCCCCTAAGTCGAGCTCAGAAGGACAAACAAGCATTAGCTGATGAATGAAAGGAGACCATATCTAGGAGGGGGACAGGCGGGGGGCGGGCAGCTCGTACAAAGACCCATGGCTGAGAAAGGATACTGCACATTTTAGGAAGTGAAGAGACATGGCATGATTGCCATGGACAGAGTTAGGAGTCATGTGGCCATGGAAGGGGGCAGAAAAGAGTGGGCCAGTGCAGGCCATGATCCTGCCTGCAAGCCCATAGGATCTGGGACTTTGTCCTAAGAGTCAAGAAAGGGACATGATCACATAAAGTTTGAAAAAGACTATTTAGGCTGCTATGAAAGGAAGGTCCTGGGGAGAGGCAGGTGTGGAAGCAGGGAACTCAAGAAGCTATTTCTGTGGCACAAGTAAGAATTAAGACCTGGAGAGGACCGTAGCAGTGGAGATGGGTAAATGGATAGGATTTGATATTTGATTGGATTTGGGCCATTAGGAAGAGGAAGAAATCAAGGGAGAACCCTGATACACTCAAGTGGTAAAACTCTTAGAGTAAACAGCTTTACTCTTAGATAGTAAAGCTGTTTACTGAACTCTGGAGTTCTGGCCGGGGAGCAGGTTTGAGGGAGAAGATCATGACTTCTGTCTTTGGACATGTTGAGTTTAAGGTGTCTGTGTAGGTATAAGAATAGTCCCTGTGGAGTTTTGAGATGAGATCCTGGATTTAAGTGGGGGCTGGGAGACAAAGAGGGGTAGAGCGACTGATCAAATAATGTTTGCAACATTGACTTGAGGACCCCTTATAGCAAAAGTTATGTTTTAGACGTGAAATTGTGATAAATAAATATATTAACTGGCACTGCAATTCTTCCCCAGAAGCAGCTCTATTTGTAACTTAAACCTCATTAAACAAAATATGTGAACTGCTGATAAGTTCAATCAATCCAAATGGAGGTGACCTACCCCAAAACAATTATCTATAAAATCTGGACAGCAGCCACTCCTCAGGTCATTTGAGTGTCTTTCAGGGACCTTCTGTTTTTCAGCTAATGAACCCTTGGCACAGGGATTTGCATCCCTCATTACAGGGCCAACAAGGAGAATGAACTTACTTACTGGGAACAGACACTGCCAGTAATTATGGGGACTCTGCCTTCTGTGACAGGAGAGGGATTGCTTTTTATAAATAACACTGGCTCCCTTGACTTAGCCTCAGTGGTTCTACTGTTCAGTGCAGGTAAAAGAAGAAATGCATTGTGGATAACTGAATAAATCGAACATCGATGAGTGAAATTAGTAAAATTGACCAGCATAGTACTCATCGTTCTTATCATTTTTGTGAATCTGACAAATAGGCCGGTTCTAAAAATATACTCATTTACTGCAAAAACAAACAACCAGAAGTTGTGTGTCTCTTAGCAATAGGAGAGAAGAGAAATAGAGTGATAATTACTTGATGAAGGGGAGGTATTTTTAAGAATAAAAGCTATTTGAGTTGCTTAAGTGTTGATAAGAGGGAGCTGGTAGAGAAAAAGAGGTGGAAGACCCAGGAGACAAGAGATAAGTGAAAATGGTCTGAGAAAATGGGAAGCAATGGAATTTCAAATGGTGGGGGTGAAGAGGGGGGTGAGGGACAATGCTTCTTCATTTAAAAAGTGCTGCAGAATATATCCATGTGTGTTTCTAGCTCAAGAAAGTTAGATGAGGTAGTTTGTGTATGATGGTTTAAATTCACTTTCTGAAGAAGGAGGGAAGTCATCTGGGGAGAGTGAAAGGAGAGTTGGGCTAGTCAGATGTCTGAGGAGAGAGGAGGAATGAGAGAGTGACAAGGGACACATCATAGGTGGTTCTGCAGTGGTGGCCAGCAGGGTCAGTGACTGCAAATTCACTGTGGCCCCATTCAGCACAGTTTTGTGATCTGTTCCAGAAGGTTCAGCTGCGGAAGATCAGGAAAGTGAATGGCTGGGCCTATTCAGGTGTGAAGATTTTCCAGCTAGGTACATTAAAAAGAAAAACGAGGCTCAGCGCCTGTGGCTCAAGTGGCTAAGG